CTCGCTCAGCCAGTGAGCGGGAATCGGTCTGTATGTGGGATCCGAACCCTCGGCGGGAGCGCCGCCGCGCTCCCAAGCAGCGCACTGTAGCAGTGCGCCACCGGGCCGGCCCCTCAGAGTGGTTTTGATTTGCATTTCCCTGGTGATTAGTGATGTTGAGTATTTCTTCATATACCTGATGGCCATTTGTACGTCTTCCTTTGAGAAATGTCTATTCAGCTCCTTTGCTCATTTTTTAATTGGATTTTTTTTGTTTACTGTAAAGTTGTCTGAGTTCTTTGCATATTCTGGATATTAATCCCTTGTCAGATGGGTTTTTTGCAAATACTTTCTCCCATTCTTTAGGATGTCTTTTCACTCTATTGATTGTTTCCTTTGTTGTGCAGAAGCTTTTTAATTTGATATAATCCCATTTGTTTATTTTTTTCTTTTGTTACCTGTGCTTTTGGGGTGTTATTCATAATGTCATTGCCCAGTCCTAAATCCTGGAGTGTTTCCCCTACATTTTCTTCTAGGAGTTTTAAAGTTTCAGGCCTCTGAATATTTAGGTCTCTAATACATTTTGAGTTGATTTTGGTATATGGTGAAAGGTATGGATCAAGTTTCATTCTTCTACAAATGGATATCCAGTTTTACCAGCACCATATCGAAGAGGAAGTCTTTTCCCAAATGTATGCTCTTGGTGCCTTTGTCAAAGACCCGTTGGCTGTACAGATGTGGGTTGATTTCTGAGTTCTCTATTCTGTTCCATTGGTCTAGATGNTTTTTTTCTTTTGTTACCTGTGCTTTTGGGGTGTTATTCATAATGTCATTGCCCAGTCCTAAATCCTGGAGTGTTTCCCCTACATTTTCTTCTAGGAGTTTTAAAGTTTCAGGCCTCTGAATATTTAGGTCTCTAATACATTTTGAGTTGATTTTGGTATATGGTGAAAGGTATGGATCAAGTTTCATTCTTCTACAAATGGATATCCAGTTTTACCAGCACCATATCGAAGAGGCAGTCTTTTCCCAAATGTATGCTCTTGGTGCCTTTGTCAAAGACCCGTTGGCTGTACAGATGTGGGTTGATTTCTGAGTTCTCTATTCTGTTCCATTGGTCTAGATGTCTGTTTTTATGCCAGTACCATGCTGTTTTTGTTACTAAAGATTTGTAATATAGTTTGAAGTCAGGAAGTGTAATGCCTCCAGCTTTACTTTTTTTGCTCAGGATTGCTTTGGTTATTCAGGGTCTTTTGTTGTTCCATATGATTGTTAGGATTGCTTTTTCTAATTCTGTGAAGAATGTCATTGGTATTTTGATGGGAATTGCATTGAATCCTCAGATGGCTTTGGGTAGCATGGACATTTTTACTACATTGATTCTTCCAATCCAGGAACAAGGAATGTCTTTCCATCTCTTGGTGTCTTCTTTAATTTCAGAAGTGATTTGTAGTTCTCATTGTAGAGATCTTTCACCTCTTTGGTTAGATTTATTCATAGGTATTTTATTTTTTGGAGACTATTGTAAATGGGCTTGCTTTCTTGATCTCTTTTTCTTCTAGTTTGTTGTTGGAGTGTAAAAATGCTATTGATCTTTGTATGTTGATTTTGTATCCTGCAACCTTACTGAATTCATTTATCAGCTCTAAGAGTTTTTTGGTAGAGTTTTTGGGGTTTTCTTTATATAGAATCATGTCATCTGTGAACAGGGACAATTTGCTTTCCTCTTTACCTAGTTGGATGCCCTTTATTTCTTTCTCTTGTCTAATTGCTCTGGCAACTACTTCCAATACTATGTTAAAAAGGAGTGTAGAGAGCAGGCATCCTTGTCTTGTTCCTGATCCTAAGGGGAAAGCTTTCAGCTTTTCCCCATTCAGGATGATATTGGCAGTGGGTTTATCATATATGCTTTTTATTATGTTGAGGTACCTTCACTCTATACCTAATTCGTTGAGAGTCTTTATCATGACGACTGTTGAATTTTGTCAGTGCTTTTTCTGCATCCATTGAGATGATCATATGGTTTTTCTTCCCTACTTTGTTGATGTGTTGGCATTTATTGACTTGCATATGTTGAACCATCCTTGCATTCCTGACATGAATCCCACTTGATCATGATGTATAATGATTTTGATATGTTGCTGTATTCTGTTTGCTAGTATTTTGCTGAGGATTCTAGCATCTAAATTCATCAAGGATATCAGCCTGTAGTTTTCTTCTTTTATTGTATCTTTGTCTGGTTTTGGTATCAGGGTGATGCTGGCTTCATAGAATGAGTTTGGGAGAATGGTTTCTGTTTCAATTTTTTGGAATGGTTTAGAAAGAACTGGTATTAATTCCTCTTTAAATGTTTGGTAGAATTCAGCAGTGAAGCCATCCGGTCCTGGGCTTTTCTTTTTTGTAAGATTTCCGATTACTGCTTCAATCTCATTGCTTGTTATTGGTCTTTTCAGTTTTTCTATGTCTTCTTGGTTCAATCTTGGTAGTTTGTATGTGTCAAGAGATTTATCGATTTCCTCCAGATTTTCAAGTTTATTGGCATATAGTTGTTCATAGTAATCTCTAATGATTCCTTGTATTTCTGTGGTATTAGTTGTGATATCCCCTTTTTCATTTCCGATTTTTGTTATTTGGGTCTTCTCTCTTCTTTTTTTTAGTTAGTCTGGCTAGTGGTTTGTCTATGTTGTTTATCTTCTCAAAAAAACAACTTTTTGTTTCATCGATCTTTTGTATCATATTTTTGGTATCTGTTTCATTTAGTTCTGCTCTGATTTTAATTATTTCTTTCTGCCTACTAACTTTTGGATTGGATTGTTCTTGTTTTTCTAGTTCCTTGAGGTATAAAGTTAGGTTGTTTATTTGAAATCTTTCTGTCCTCTTGATGTGAGCATTTATTGCAATAAACTTTCATCTTAGTATTGCTTTTGCAGTATCCCATAGGTTTTGGTATGATGTGTTGTTATTATCATTAGTTTCAATAAAAGGGGTGTTTCCTTATGGATGGGCAAGGAGGATCAGCTTCTCATACAATCAGGATTGGGTAGAAGGGTTTATTGAGCACAAAATAATATATTCAACAAAAAATACATCCTTTCATCACCTTCAACTACATGGGATAAAGATAAGTTCACCTGGAACCCCAGTTAAACACTGAAGTTAATATTATTTATTGGTGCAAAAGACTGAGTTATTCATCTTCCTCAGTTCATAGCCTGCACTGACTTTTACTATCATTGGCCCATGATCTATTTCATTTTTGTCAGTTGACATGGAATTGTGGCAAGGGCCCAGGATTGACATCAGTAAGTGAGGGGAACGGAATGAAAGAGAACAAACTATATTGAGAACCTGATTTGTGCTGGGACATTTTTTATTTATTATCTTATTTAATTTTTACAATATCTTTTTGAATTGGGTATTGTTATACTGATTTTAGACATGAGAAATTAAATCATTTACCCAAAGTCTCACCAATAAATTAGTGGTAGAATCAGGATTCAGATTCAAGCATGAGTCCATGCCTTGTATACTGCTGTATACTGAGTATTCTTTGAATCATGAGAAGTGTTTTCTTAGTTGTAAAATGGAAACTTCACTCCATGCCTTGTATACTGAGTATTCTTTGAATCATGAGAAGTGTTTTCTTAGTTGTAAAATGGAAACTTCATATTTAATCATGATTTCCATTTTTGCTTTATAAAGTTGCCATGAGGCTCAAATGGCACCCTGTATGTACCATAAAGATTCTTTCAAAAGAAATTATCAAGTGCTCATCTGGTTTAGACTTTGGACTTAGCAATGAAGAAAACACAGACTCTGCTGTCAAGGACTTTTCCATCTGGTGTGGGAGTTATGGTTACTTTCCCTTCTCACCATGTCTTTGCTATATCTGTTTGCTTTGTTGCTCTCTGACTTTGCTGTTTCTGGAAACAGGATGCTTGGTAGGAAAGAACTGTTCATGAGGCAGGTAATAGGGTGAGGAGGAGAAGCAACATACTATGTCCTTCAGAAACTAGAGAGTTGGTCTTTGAGGAGATATTTCCAAAGGTAAGGCAGCTTAGTTCATCTTGAAGTTATCAGAGTGACATCAAAGCAGAAACCACAACACCAGTGAGTTACCAAAGGTTAAGGTGATTTGCAAATTCCATTGTTCTGAACAAGAAGGAAGACACTCTAAGGAGAAGGATACTCTAGAATGATGAAGAGGGAGGCCTGTTTCTCAAATACCTCTTTCCTTGACCAATTACAGACTCAGTTTTGTTTTATACAATACTCCCTGCTTGTTGAGGTGACCTGTCACTTACTTATGTTATGTTTTTTTCACATTTTCTTCCTTTTTTTGTTAGTCACATATTAAAAGAAAGAAAAAAGTCAACTAGCACAATTTACAGGGATCCCTAGACACAATCTTTGATGTAGAGAAACAGTAGTATTAATGTGAGCAAAAACAAGAGGGAAAGGATGACCAAGCATGGCTGCAAAGAGTTTTAGGGTGCGATGAAATAAACTCAGGACTCCTTGGTCCTCTAATATTCTGTAAGTTATGACATCAGAGAGTAGCACCAGACCACTGGGTGCTAAGGAATGGACTGGAAGTGGGAGAAGAGTATAAGAAGAAAGTACCATGGAATTGCTGGAAACAAATTTCACTGAATTTGCAGTTTTTCTCATGTGCTTGGTGGCACCTGTCTACCTTCTCTCTGTTCATGGCTATAGGTTGCATATAGTGCTGGTGCCTATTAGGGTATATTGGTATGGGAAGAAAATGGACTAAGATGAGAAGTCCTTTCAATCAGATCTACATGCTCTGAGTCACCTGGAATCTACCAGTGACCTTTTTGAAGGCAGCTTTCACATTCGTGTTTCTTAGGCTGTAGATCAAAGGGTTCAGCATGGGGATGACCACTGTGTAGAAGACAGACACGATCTTGTCTTCCTCCAGGGATTTGTCTGAGCCACTCTGTAGATACATGAAGATGAGGGTCCCAAAGAAAAGGGTCACAGCAGTGAGGTGGGAGGCACATGTGGAGAAAGTCTTGGCCCTACCACCTGAAGACTTCACCTTCAAAATGGCCTTGATGATGAGCAGGTAGGAAATCAGGATGACCAAGGCATTGGCCAAAATCACAAAGTTGCCAAAGAAGACAATGACAATCTCAGTGTTTGTTGTGTCACTGCAGGCGAGCTTCAGCAGGGGTGGAAGGTCACAGAAGAAGAAGTTGATCTCATTATCATCACAGAAGGAGAGGGTGAAGGTGCACGTGGTACGCAGAATGGCCCCTGATATCCCACAGATGTAGGCACCTGCCACCAAGCTCCAGCAGACTCTGGGATTCATGGCCACAGTATAGCACAGTGGGTTGCTAATGGCGACATAGCGGTCATAGGCCATCACTGCCAGCAGGTAACACTCTGTGCCTGCACAGATGGTGAAGAAAAAGAACTGGGCAGCACAGCAGCCATAGGAGATGACTGTCTTGCCTGTGGCTAGTGTGGCCAGGATCTGAGGGTTGATGACTGAGGCATAACAGGCATCCAGGAGGGAGAGGTGGCTCAGGAAGAAGTACATTGGGGTGTGGAGTTGGTTATCTACTTGGATTAGAATAATCATCCCCACATTTCCCAGAAGGGTGACTAGATAGAAACTCAGAAACATCAGAAAGAGAGGAATCTGCAATTTGCGGTGATCAGTAAAGCCCATGAGAATGAATTCAGTAACTGCAGTGAGATTATCTTTGGCCATGGGTTCAAGGTGGGCTGTTGGTCTGAGGATGAGAATGAAATAAAAAAATCCCAGAATTGAAGGATAGAATTGTTCTCTTTCTAGTAGAAGTTCGGTTTGTAACTCAGGGCTTATTCATAGAGCTGGTTTTTCAGAAATCCTGTACCTGGCTGATTCTCCTTAGGCATCTGCTGCATTTTACGGAGCTGAGCCTTCAGCTGATTCAAGTTAATTCTAGTTTACATTTGGAAATTTCTGTGAAGATAAGAGACACATGATTCTCAGGTTTGGAAGAGACCTAGACAGCATCTGTTCCAACCCCATCTGGGGCTGGGGTCTCCTCTACCGCATACCCACCTTGAGGTCATCCAGTTGTGATCTGAACCTCCATTTGTGCACAGTTCCATCAGTTAATTCTCTGTTCGAAGCATCCATCAGTCCTCTGTCTGAACCTGGATTCTCTATCTGCACCTTCCACACACTGGTCTTAGTTTAACCCATTCCAGACACTCACAACAATTCTAATCCCTCCTTCTCATGAAAGCCTTGTAGAAGTTGGAAGATAATGAATCTGCTCTTCACGTTGATTATTTGCTTATAGTACACACTGATATATTTTCCTTGTATTACATAATTATTCAGGCAGGCCATCAAAAAAATTGCCAAGTCAGATAGTATGGACTGATAATTAAAGACTTTTTCTCCATTTTAATCTTTACCACCCCAGCTTGGAGGCCATCATCTTCAACATATTGTTTTAAAATTTTTTTGGTCAATCAAAACACCATGATTATAAGTATAAGTAATATGTTCAAACGCAAGATCTTGCTGCCTTTTAGTTATGTGGCTTTGGGCAAGTTACCGAACCCCTTTTTTGTCTCAATGCCTTGTCTATAACAGGGGAAAAGCATGCCCATGTCATAGGGATACCCATAAGGGGTATAAAGCAGTGACCAGCACACAGAAAGAGCTGTGTTATAATGTTAGCTATTACTATTGTCACTATTATTATCACCGATTTTAGATAGTATCTATTGACAGACTGCTCTGAAAGATAATGCATTTCACTCACATAAACCTTGTTATATTGCTATCTGTATCTCTTTAAATAATATATATGTATGTATGTATTTGTAT